TATATATATATATATATATATATATATATATATATATATATATATAGGTAAATATCCATGGGTAAGTAATCCAAGTGAATTGTAATAATATAAAATATTAAAACTGATCCACAAAAGAGACCTCAATATATTTATTATAGAACATATAAATGAATTACATAAAAATGGAACTCAATTGTACCCCATATATATGGCCATTTCCTCCTTGAGAGATTTCGCTCTTAGAGAAATTTCCTGAAGCTTGTCAATACTAAAACATTTGGTAGAAAATGAATTGTAACATTTTTTTAAAAACTGGAAAATTAAAAAAGATAGGAAAAAAGAAGAGGAAAAAAAAACGCAAATAAGGGAAAGGTATTTAAAAGGGAAATAGAGAGAAAAAATTAGTGAGGGGGAAAAGGAAGACAGATACATATACAAGTCTAGACAGAAGTTAAAAATGGTTAAAGATTAACAATGACTTATATTTAAAATGTTAACTCTTGTTCAAATAGGAAAAAAATTACATAAAGAAATACAATCTTTAAAGTTAAAAAAAGAGTTTTAGAATAAAGAAATTTTAGAATTTAATATTAATACTATTATTTAATTTTAATATTATAAAAAGGAATTTAATATTATAATTAAAAAATTAAGATATTATTAGTATATATACAAGAAAACCTGAATATTAAAATTAATAATTAAATAAAGGAAGAATTAAAATAAATAGATAAATAATAGCCCAAAAGAAAATTTTTACAATATAAGGGAAAAAAAAATTTAAATAGATTAATTGAAGATAAAATTATAGATTAAAATTTAGATTAAATTTAAAGATTATATAGATTAATTATAGATTAAAATATAAAGGATTATATAGAATCCAATATATTAAAAAGAATAATTATAGATTAAATTAAAATACAGATTAAATATAGATTAAATTATAAATTAGAATAGATAAAAGTATCAAGAGTCCTTTTACAGAGGGAAACATCAATATCAAATAACTAAGGAAAAAAACTAAAATATACAAAAAAACAGCTAGCCATGAAACAGGTAAATAAAAGTAAATTTAAATCATCAATATACTTAAATGCACATAACATATCAAATTTAAAAAAAAAAGAATAAAAATAAAAAAATATACATATAGAGAAAAAGTTTAGAAAGTAAAAAATAAAAATTTAAAAATTTCTTATATGATATTAAATATAGAAAAATAACTCTTTTAAAAAGTGTATGAGATATAGAAAAATAACTTATTAAAAACCTTTTTAATTAAATTAAAAAAGGAGGAAATATAGAAAAATAACTTTTTAAATAACCCTTATCAAGTGGGGTGGAAATAAAAAAAAATATATTATTAAATAAATCAAACAAGTACCATATCAGTTATACATAAGTAAACCATATAACATAAAAATAGAATAGACAGAAGAGAAGGAGAGATCTCAATTGCAAAAAGCTACAGATATAAAGGAAATTGATGAGATATGTTAATGTAGTTAGGAGTTTCATATTTATATATATATATATATATATATATATACGTACACACATAACCATACATATATGTGTGTGTGTGTGTGTGTGTGTATGTACACACACAAGGATTTATTCAAAGGGTAGACATTGACTTGGTCAAAAAGTAATGCCTGTTCTTCTTCAGTTACAACATATTTAATAGTAGAAGCCCACAAGGCTTGCTAAAATGGTCATAAAAGTTTCAGAATTCCAAATCTGGTCTTCAATTTTCTTCCTTCTCAGTTGTGATATTCCACCTTTGAATGAGGGTAAGTATATCTACCTCATAGAAGATTCTTGGCTGATTTCTTACCCATGTATGAGTTACATCTTTCACTTCATTATCATTTGAGAATCACTGCCCTCTGAGTGCCTGAGGGTAGCAGGTTAGGGTCATTGAGTGAATGAGGTAATGCATTACAATTACTTGTCTGCTTTTTAAATTGCTATAAGACTTCCATTATTAGTGGTTGCTGTCTTAATGATATAAGATATACAGAGAACACAATGTTGATAGCAGACAAAGAATAAGCACTAGAGGCTCTCTTACAGAATGTATTAAAAGAAAATGAAAAGAAAGTACTAAACATCAATTGTAAGAAGATAGAATGTATGGTTGTTAGCAAAAGGATCTGACCAAGATGCAAATTATAAATTGGAGATACCAAAAAGAAAGTCTTATCACATAGTATGTAAAATGCAACAAAAAAATTTGAAGGTAATTTGAAATAGTAAAAGATGCCTTCTAAAATCTAAATAAAGACTTAAGAAAAAGGAAAATGTCATTATATAGTTATATAATAATGGTCCTCCTATATGGCAGTAAATGCTTGACAATCTCATCACAGATGAAGAAGAAACTTGAGGCAACAGAAATGTGGTTCTACAGATGGATACTGAGAATACCATAGACTGAACATATGAGCAATGATGAAGTTTTAAGGAAAATGGAAACAAGAAAAGACACTTATATTAAGAATGAGTAAGTAACAATTGAAATTTCTAGAGCACATAGTGAAGAAAGAGGCATTGGATACTCAGCAAGTGGAAAGCAAGAGAAATAGAAGCAAGTAATGAGTAACAAAATAAGCTTTGTGTAAATAGATGTTAAAACAGGAATTAGGAAAGGTGATGGTAATAAAATAGACATTACTTAGAGCTACAAAAGATAGGAATTTGTGATGAGCTTTAAGGGACATGGTATATAGAAGAAGAATACCCATTAAAAGTGATTATCCCTTGGGTAACATGGAAGTAAACAGTGCTGCAAACATTCCATGGAGGTTAGTGAATGTTTATGGAAAAACTGTACTTGACGAAAGCAGAGTAAAGACATGAGTCAGATAGTTCTATCTGCCTCTTTTGCCTTCAATATAGCCAGTGAGTGTAACATTCTGTAACACTGCTTTCCTCATTAAGAGTTCTAGATATATAAATACTCTCTTTCTGAATTTAAGTGTCCTTTTAATCCACATCCCACTTTGATGGCTATAAGGAAGTTGGTTAGCTACCTTATATGATAAAAAATAAATGTCGAAAACCTGTTGATGAGTCAACAACCAAATAATTAGAATTGGGAAACCACTCCACTATCAATCCTAAAAATATATTTTTAGTAATATTTTCCTCTGCATTACTTCAGCATAAAATAAAATTACTCAAAGGACAAAACACATTGGTAAAGAAAAATTTTCCTTTTGTCTTTTATTTATATATGTATAGATGCACAACTAGGGAATAGCTTCATTGCAGTGAACAGTAGTTGAAAAAAAAGTTCCTGCAAAAAAATATATCTTATAAATTGGTAAATATGTTCTGTATATATTTCTTTTTTTTCTCTTCCACTTGACATTGGCTGAAATAACTTTTTGCAAACTTGTTTTAGACATATTTCAGGTGATTTTTATTTATCTTTAGTGATTTAAAAAGGAAAAAACATTTTTCTCCTTCACATTATATTTGGGAAACACATTTGAATTTTCATTATAAATATCTATAAATACTTTCATGGCAATTGTTCTGATGAATTTTCTGCTATGGCATCTAGACTTTATAAATTTGATTTTCAAATATTTAAATGCAATGACAACTGTTATCTGATCGTCTTAATTTTTTTCTTTTATTTCTCTCTCTCTCTCTCTCTCCTTAATAGTAGTTTTTCACATATTCTTTAATACTCAGTAACTCCTTGCATCTTAGTGGCTTTATTGCCTTGCTTGGTCTGAAATGAGTAAAAAAAAGTACACACTACACATATTTTATTTGAGTAACAGTATCTGTTTAAATTCAACATTTTCTCTAATATTACATCTATATGCAAAAGAACAATTATTTTATCAATAATGAAGAATATAGTTGAAACACAATATAATAATGAACCATACCATTAAAAAACATGTTTAGCAGTTAGCCATGTCATAATAATGTTGGAGTAAAAAATCCATTTAATAAAATATATATGTAGCTAGCTGCTTGTATCTAAGTATGCTATGGTAGCTAACTAATCCATGTTGAAGACACCTGTTCAAGCAGATTTGTTTCTTTAAAACCAACAAAGATAATCTGGTTTATACTGCAACTATGCTGAGCAGACTTTAGTTACAGTTTCTAGGAGGGAATACATAATCTGTCATCTTCATCAGTTTGAACAAGACCAGTACACTGAAACTCTCAGTCACGATGACTTGTGACTTAGTGCTAGCACAACCATCAACAACTTCTGAAAAGTTCTGTTTACCTAATTTTACTTGCAAGGATTGAGTCAACATGGAGTATGGTTTTCATGGACTTCCCAAAGGTGCTATACACTAATACACATTTATATAGAGGCACATGGTGATGGATAGATATAAATAAGGATAACAAATAACTCTAGGTATAGAGATAGATATAAATTTAGGTAATAAGATACATTATTCAAATTATATCAGGTTAACTTCTATCACTCGTCATTATTTACATGCATTACTCCCATTTCCATTGGAAATAGCAGCCTTTGCTAGCCCTGTTCTAAATTGTAATGAAGATTGTTTTATCTGGAAATGACAAGAAAACTGTGGAATTCAAATATATTCTGGTTTTATGATCAGACACATCTGCAGTAGTGGGACAAACTTCATGCTCTGAGTCCCCTACATAGTACTAATCAGTTTCATTCATTTTCTATGACTTATCAAGCTTTTACAGGTTATTTAAAGCCTGAAAATATTTTTAGATTGTAAGAATATATTTTTGAGATAATAATGGTATCACTAAACCATTATTATATTAAAAAATATTCTTACAATCTAAAAATATTTTCACCTCTTCTCCCTACAGCTATGGGTTAATTATTAATCTACAGCTGTGGGGAGAAGAAGTGAATTCATACCTTCCCCAAGGGTATTTGTGCATAAGTGGATATAACAAACTCAGTGAGAGTTGGAATCCAGCTCTCTGGTTAACAATTCCAATTCATTATCCATTAGACCACCTGAACATCCAAGCTTATTACACCTGGTATTCCCTAGCAGTCACCCACTGAAGTACTGAGCAGCCTCAATGTTGCTTAACTTTGGTGATCATACAGAAACCAGTATTTCAATGCAATGTGGTCATAAGCCATAAACAGTTTTAGATTACATGACTTTACCAGGTGAATTAGAATAACTGACACAAATGACTGGCAACTTGTAATTAAATTGGGCAACAGTTCAAATTCTTGATAGTATTTTACTTGCCTCTCAGAATTGATATCAATATTTGCATTTTAGCATTCCAACCCATATTCAAATCTAAGAAGTCTATATGGTTTAATAGGTAGCTCACCATCCATCTTTATATTAATATGCTTGTGCCTACTGTTCGTGCATGCATGTTATGCTTTCTTTCATTAATTATATAGCAAAAATTGGAGCTAAAGCTATTTTAAAGTTGCGTTATATTCCTGAAGAAATAATAGATCAAGATGATTTTTTTAAATATTTAATCAATCAAACCCTTGCAAATTGAACTGGAGGCATGGCAAGTGTGGAAACAAATTGTTTAGATTTTGGAATTAAAATCTAATATAAACGTGTTTGAAAAAAATCAAAATGAAACAGTCATTAAGATCCATTTCTAACAGACTTACCAAGAAATATATCACAGTTTGATGTCCCTAAAGTTCAATAAAATCGATTTTTTAAGAAGAAACCTTATAGAATTGTGTTTTTAATCTTTTAAAAAATTGTGCCTAAACTAGTGCAATGTCAGAAAAAGTAATGGGGACTTACCTTCCAGTGGTTTCTGGCAGAGTGAGGTGTGGATGGAGAAAAACCTGCCTTGCTTGTATTATTTTTATTTATATGTTATTTTGCACAAATGGTCACATTTCGCCTATGTTAAAATAGGCTTATTTTTGCTGTAGATAGTTCTTATCTGAGTCACATTGTTCCCAATTACTGATCTACATTTGAACTATCTTACATACCTACCAGAGATCAACTTTAATCTATCCTTAATTATTTGACTATCAGACCTTAGTACTGAGATTTCCAAACCAAAGTTGTAACACTGGCAATCTGTTGCAAAATGATTTCTACCAAATCTTGATATAAGAGGTAAGGTGTTTTTTTTGTCTTTCTGTCAGTTACCATTGTTGGTTTGGGAGTAACTTTTTCTTTTATTTCTCTTCTTTTACTAAGGTCACCCCCCACTTTCTGAGGGAATTTGCTACAGCTTGCAACAGATTCATTTCCCTTTTTCACTACAAGCCCCATCATTTTTGTATTAAATTCATCTAATTGCTCCTTGTATTCAAATGATCTCACTATACCAGATGGAGTCAATGCAACAGTCATCTTTGCTGAAAGATCAAAGGGTAATGTTTACAATGATAGATCTAACACTGGAGAATCTTAGTGTGCTTATACCCCTTGAGAGAGCTGTAGAGCTCCACAAATGAGATATTCTCCAGTGGTTACAGGAGCTACTATGTCTGCATAAGGATATAACCAGGGCCATCCCACCAGAAGTAGTAAGAGACTGCTTAACTGACAGTTTTTTTACAAAACTGGTGTGAATAGAGCCCTATCAGAACTGGATACCTCCTTACTAAATCTGGAGATTCACTCCCCTTTAATGACCAACTCCATCTTCAACTCTACAATCCCCATCTGAAGGTGGAATTGAATTGGCTGGACTGAAGATAACCTGTCCCACCTTCACTGGTCTTGATAAAGCTAATAAATTTACCCAGCAGGATTTTTTGATCTGTTTTGAATTTTGTACATCTGGAATGAGCACCGACAGTTAATATGTCTCAAGGCCTATGTAATGGGCCAGCAATTCCATTTCATTCATCATCTATTTGAAAACAATCAAAATTATGTTACTATAAAGATACTAAAGGAAGAGTACTGGTATAGAGAGGTCATTCAAGAGGAGATTTTCAAAAAAATAATGCAGTATACACCCAAATTTGACAGTATTGCTCCCAGGTTCAATATGAACTTGCTGAGTTGGACTCTGATTACACATACAATTTGCTGGTAGAGGGTTCTGGAAGTAGATCCCTGGTGGCTCATATTTTATTTGAGTAAATCCCAGATGAAATAAAAAGCTGAACTAATTAGGGTATCAAGCATTATGTATCTAAGTTTGAGTTGTATACTGCAGTACAGTAATAATGTCATGAAGGTGCTACTCTGAATTCGACTAACTCTGGCTCCTAGAACAGATTCAATTCCACGGTTTAGACCTAAGACAAATCCTGCTTGAATGTAAAATGCACCTAAAGTTTCTGCTTTGGAAAGTTTCCATAAAGACCCTGACATTATAGATAATGTCTATTACTGAAATTTTGGTGCTAAGAATGAACATGCAAGCCTTAATTTTAAAACCTATCCCTCTTAAAATGAGCATCAAAGAACTTGTAGGCAACTTGGGTTATGCAAATTTTACACAGTCACCAGCCATAATAGTTGAACCTGTCTAGGTGTCAAGGGATTTAGGGACCCTTGCAAGTATTGCAATTTTCAGAGACACTTTGCTTCTATGTATCCTCATTTTAAACTGGATATATTGAAAATAAATAGCAGCATAAATGCAAGAATGGGATACACTTAAAACATACTACTCATGGTGAACATCACAATTAGAAGGGAAAACTACTCTGTTTCTCTGAATTGCCTTATTGACTCTGGTAGTCAGAGATTATATTTTTCTAAAGAAGTGCTTGAACATCTGAAGTCTGACCTCAAGACAGAGGAGGATGTGGCGATGGGAATTGTGACCTTTGTGGGGAGGAAGCACCTTAGGTTCTGACAAATAACAGCAATTGTGAAGTTGTTCCCAGGAGTCTCTCTCCAATTGCCCATTCACATTGACAGTGAGTTGAATCTCTCACACAAAGTACCAAACTTGCCAATCATTTGGAATAACCTCAAGGAAAGTAATTATGAATTTGTTGCAGAGATAAGGAGTGGCTGTATCTAGTTGCGGGGCTTTATGGGTGTACACTTAATTCAGTACATGCACCCCAAGAAGGTTGTTAGGTGCATGAATGGTACTGCTTGAGAGACACCTGCTGGTATTATCTCCATTGGCAATACAAAACATTTTCTGCATGATGACAAAATCAACCTGATTGACACAGTTTTAGAGGCCCCAGACTATGATGAGTTTGTTAAAGGTTATTCTTGTGCTAATTCCCTTGTTAATAGCATTGTGAATCTTGATCCTTCCTTGTTTGCAGACATTTTTGAAGAGAGTGCAGTTGATAGGGGACTTGAATGGATGTTCAGCCTTGAATCCCTGAGCTTTCCTGACACCGAATCGGTTTCAGATTATGACAACCAGAAAATTGAGGAATTCATGTGGAACATTGTTCCTAAGGATAGTTATTACCTGCTAATTTTAGCATGGCATGAGGATGAATTAAGGTGGCTCCAATCAAATCATCACATAGTACTTAAGGTTCTGGACAGTGGGGTCCAGAACTTAGAAAAAAAACCTCTATCAAGAGTATGTAACGATGTTTGAAGACCAAGAGAAGGAGGAAATAATCAAATACCTCTTAGAATGCTACCTCCTGAGAGGTACAAGGACTATATGTGGGTTTCTCATAGACCCATTTTTAAAAAGGAAAACAACGATACTACCAGAATTCGTCCAGTGTTCAACTGTTCAACTGGCAATTCTGTCTCCCTCAATGATGTGGCTTACCATGGGGCAAATTTGATGGGATATATGTTCAATTTGACACTATTTTTCAGGACAAATAAGTATGTTCTTCTGGCAGATATTAGAAAGGCATTCTTGATGATCTGTCTAGCAAGTGATTTGGACAAAGTAAATTCTGCTTCTTTTTAAAGAAGAACAATTGTTTGAAGTGTTACAAGTATACCACTTCATTTTTTATTTAAATGCTAGTCCATTCATTCTGAATCGCATATTAAAATACCATGCTGGACGTTTTCCACTGGACAGTTGTATTGAAATGTTGCAATTCAGCTTTTATGCAGACAACCTGATAAATACCAGGAACTCTCCATGTGAGTTAACTACCCTCTATTTACAAGAAGTGGAGAGACTACAGCAAGGAGGACACACATCACAATCTTGCAACTTCAACAATACAAAATTGCAGGAATTGATGAGGGAAGAAGGCTATCTTGTAAGTCATGGATGCCCATGGAGAAGGTTCTGGGTTATTTATATAACCTCCCAAACTGATACCATCAACATTGCTCACCACAGCTGCAACCCCAAAATAAGAACTAAGAGATGCATACTGTCCAATGCATCCAAAGTATTTGGCTCTCTTTCATTATGTTTACAAGTGACTATACAGGCTCATACCCTCATCAGTGAGTTGTGGAAGTTGGGTCTGGGTTGGGATGAGATCATTCCAAAGGAATTTCAGTCCCAATGGGCAGTTCTTGCCAAAGAATTATCAGAACTTAGTACCATTAACTTTCAAAGACAAATTCGCAGTGAAGGCAAAGGAACTGATTTATTTCTGCCCATGATGCTTCTAAAAGGGCATATGGATTTGCAGCCTATGCTACAGAGGAAGGTGTCGTTTCTTTGTAATTTTTCCAAAGCCAAGGTAGCACCACTCAAATTAAAAACTTTACCCATGCTGGAGCTTTTAGCAGTCTTCTTGGACATCAAGTGTCTTCCAACATTGTTGAAGGTATATTCTGGAGTACCTTTCCAAAACATATACATTGTGGTAGATGCACAGATTGTGCTGTCATAGTCACTTACAAGACAACCCAACAACAAGAATGTTTTTGTCAAAAATTGACTGAAAGACATCGATCAAATGGAAGATAAATTAGCATCAGAATTCAATGTGTCCATTTAGTATAAATATGTGCCTACTGGACAGAACCCTACTGATTTTATTACTAGAGGCCTATCCACCTCTAAACTGAAGACTAATTTATAATTTTGGACCTTCTTGGATTGGAGAGCAACCAACTTCTTGGCCTGAGAATGCCCTGAACTGCTTGAGCCCTGAAAATAAAAGAATTGTGTCCTTGGTATTTTGCACAATGGGTGGTGGGAAAGATGAGCTTGTTTGTCCCCTTTGAAAGATACTCAGAATTGTCAAGACTGGTTAATGTT